AATTTTATGATGTAGTTAAATTATACTTTCTCAATAATATGATTAACACACTTGTTAAAAACCTAATAAAAAAAACCAAAGCGTTATTAGGAATACCTCATAGGTGGTGGAAAAATTTGCTTATTGTATCATGTAAGGGGCCTGTAGGGGTATTTCTAAAAATTGTGGAGGACAGTGGGGGTTTGATTAGAAATTCAAAACGAATTGAAATAACAAAGAAATATGATGAATTTTACTTTACTTTGAGCAGGGTCAGTGGAGATGGGGGGGGGGGCAAAATTCGTGAAGGGGTAGAAAGGGGGCAGTGGGAGTCAGTGGAAGAGAGTAATTGATTAGTCAAGGTCAATTTATCGAATGAAACGAACGAATCTCACCTTAAATTGCGATAGGTCGATGGAGGAAGTGTAGGGGCATTAGGGTGATGGTAAAGGGTCTTATCGCTAAATACACTGTTTTACATAAAAAGTTATAAATATATATATACACTACACATACACATTTCACATGTATGTAAGGGTTATTATGAGGACAAGAGTGGAATTATGCGGACGTCTGCATAATTCTACCATGTTATTGATTATGTTAGAAGCACGTGAAGCCCGCATCAGTCACTTTTTATAAGAATGTATATATATATACATATATATATCCCGTACTGTCCTTAGCAAAGTATACAGTTATTAATCTTCCCTGCTCTGTATGTATACTCATGATTGACGTCTTTTACTGTTCTCTATGACTGTGTTCATCATCGTTCGTTTCCGTTACTGCTACGTGATACCTCTACCATTTCACTTATCGGTAGTAGGTTTACTCCCTGTTCAGCGTGGTAGTGTACCGTTAATCAAATTTTCTAAATGTTGAAATAAATAAAGTGTTATATTATACAGCAAAAATAATAAGGTGATTGGATAATGAAGCTGAACTGATAAACAATGTGTGACAAGACAGTTTCCGATATTCATATCTCAGAAAGCAAATGCAATATTACACTGTAGGAAAAATCAACAAAATTTGTGAAAAGTAGTAACTCCCTTCATTTTTCTTCTATTATCATTATTACTAGTCCACCGCCGTTCTTTAAGAATCTGTTAAAAGAATAATCTCTCTTTCTGTCTTTGATCATCATTGCTGACATGAGGTAATCGAACATTCAAGCTAAACGTCTGCGGTTAGATCTACGCACATCGCTCGTAAGAGCACGATCGTTTTGGGCCAGCTATTATACAGAGTAGTGGATTGTGCGATTGATCGGTTCGTTTCGGCAATACACAGTGATCGCGAGCATTTTCGAGGATCGGAAGACTAATCAGTATAATCTAGCAATTTATGCATCGTTTATGGATTCGTGAGCGCCTTTAGCATAAAGACTATGAATGTCAAAAAAAGTTGATTAGCCGCTACAGATAAAAACTGTGGGCCACAGCTGTAGCAATGACTCTATCATCTGTGTCTGATTAAAGGGTAGTGCCACGCATGACACATCGTAAGTTATACTGTTGGAGCTAAATCATCACTGCGGACTAGAATCACTCTTACAAAACATGAAGATGTCCCACACATGGCTAAATATGTGTAAGTGACTAATCATAGTGAAGTTAGTATGTTCTTACGTATGTAACAGCTATCACATTTTTGTTCTTATCAGACCATAGTTTTATAGTTCGAAGCACAGATTTAAGAAATTAGTTTTTTAGAGTCATAAATTAAATGAGTAAAAACTGAGCCTTAAACTCTTGAGTATACATTATTTAATCCTTGAGATTCAAGAATTGTAACCTAAACCACTGTTACGCGACAGCGTAACTTCTTTTTACCTTAATTATAGTAAAATTTTTGGCGAATGCACTGATGGTAGCAGATAGAGAAAAAGGTGGGGTTTAACAGACTGGGAGATCTGTCTCTACAACTTGAAGATTTCGCATGTTTTTCCCACGCGTCATGCCACTTTAGAAGTACTTTGGTCCCGTCAAAGCAAGCTCATACCCAATATTACAGACAGGTCAGATTAACCCACTCTCTCTCTTCCTCCCTCCCTCTCTACGACTCTAAGATTTCGTATGTTCTCCCCTCCGCTCAAAAAGATTTTTCATACTCCCCCTACCCATTGTACCCCTCACTAATACTTACATGCAACACTTTGGACTCGTTATAATGGCTCCTACCAAAAAAATAGGGGTTTGTTTTGACGAGACAAAGTGTTGCAACTGGTGTTGAAAGACCAACGTAAGCCACAAATTCCAAGCGTGTGGACTCAGCAACTGCCGGTCCTTGTACTTAGCGTTTAAGTTAGAATAAACAATAAAATTGAGCAAAGGCTTCACGTTAAGCATTCCTCGGCGGGGTGTTTTCGTTAGTAGCCCACCACTACTCATCGAGTGTGGTCAGTAATTATAAATTATATAAATTATATACGTAAGCAAATAATGACAATAATATGACATTATAGTAAACGCGTTTAAAATATTGGAAGGGTCTCTAAATAAATTTGTTTCGAATCATGCTGCTTCGTAGAAAATTCCATGGAGGATCGAAGGCATCTCGGGAGGAGGCGTGGTTATATCACCGATTCCTCTATCGATATGTGATTGATCACGTATCACGGCGCAATCGGCGATCACGGTTGCGCGGGTGAGGGATGAAGATCGGAGGGGACGACCCAAGGTGTTCTGTGAGAAAAAGGAAAGGACGAGAGGCAGTTCTTAATTTCTGTTTATCGAGGAAAGGACTAAAAAGCAAATTAAGTTGAGCGGATTCCTTCATGGGTTGAAGCAGTTCTTGAAGTCTCGTCCGTATTCCCATACTTTTTTTTTTGTCAATACGATCACCTAGCACGGTGATTTTTTTGCGGTCCTGATCCGTTTCTCTCCAGTAGCATTGATTACTATAATTGTTTTTGAGTTTTCCACTGTTGGATTTTCACAATTAGTAGAATAAGTTGTAGTTTTAAGTATTGTGTTAAGATTTTTCCCTCGATCTACTGTTTTTTATTTATTTATTTTTTTTTTTGTTACAATTAAGTAACACTCCTTAATTTTTTTTTCATTGATATAAGTAAAGAATTGCAGCACAACTCAGAGATCTTACTAAGATTTTAGCGTCGTCAGTTATCACGTATGGCTAAAGGGATTTATTTCGGAGCACAATAAATAAAAGTAATCGATAGAATAAACTTTTTATGTTAGAGTAAGGTAAGAATTAAAAATACTCTTTTAGCGGGTTCACGAAAAAGTGGCACTTTATTTAAATTTATTAAATAAGAATTTTGTCGGCTCTGTATTCACGTACATAAAAATTATTATTATTATTCACATAAGAAAACTATTAAAAGAGCGATACTTTCATTTACTTCTCATTTTATAACTTTATGCTAAGTTAAAATAACGTGTTAATTTACTTTTTACTGATATCAAACCTAAATCCATGGGCAAAGTGTGAGTATCTCCGGTGAACACCTTGCCAGTTAAGCTGACACTCTCTGCACCAATGGTGCATCGGGTCCACTCGCCACTGTGTAGCCTTTCCCCGCAGAAGACTCCATTATTCCAGGACGTCCACTCCTCACCGGTTAAGCTAGCGCTCTCTGCCAAAGCATCGGATCCAGGCTAATAAGCATCCCCGGAGAAGCCTAATGTTTCAGGGACCACTTCCTCGCCGGTAAAGCCGGCGATCCCTGCCCGACGCCTGGCATCAGATCCGCTAATCCCTACTTACAGCCCTAACACTTTTTCGCATTCACCCAGGCCCGAAAACCTGTGGGGCAAGGAAAAAACTCTGGAATTACTCTGAAGAAAAATTCCACGAAAAATTCCGCCCCAAAACAGCCAGGGTTACATAGGAACTTTTCCCGATGAAAACAGTTTTTGAAAAAATCTACATTTACCGGGAATCGAATCCATGACCCCTAGAACAGCGTTGTATTAGTAACAATCACGCTTACTACTGAGCCAACGCCGCTCTGCAATTACATATTAAGTTATTCTAATTAAAATCTGACTTAACATCAACGTTTAAATCACTGATCATAGAGCGTGCGAACCAGTGAATTTGTAAATTTTTAATTAGTTTGCGATTTAAATTTACAATTGTTACATGAATATATTGAGCTCTATAATTTATTTTCAGACATATTTCGTATCGACTTATTCTTTACCTGCAACATTCCCCGATTCTCTGTGTCAACGAATATATAACCTACTTTTTTAAGCCACCACAATTGAAAAAGGGCCTTAAAATATTAAATGATGGTTATATGACAACTCAACCTCGAAAAATTATGAAGAATACTTTAATTTAAGGGAAACGCTAAGTACGCAACAAGTAACTTTTTTTTAATATTATAAAGTACCTCTTAAGATGTTACATGAAAAAGAAGAATAAGGAAAAGTAGTTAGTACTACAAGTGTTTTTAAACTTAGATTTTTCTAGGTACATTAGGCTTTTTAAGACTGTAAAATATCTTGCATAAAATTATGTTACATTTCCTTGTTTTTAACTAACAACTTTTCCTTATCAATTCAGCAACAGGCCTCGGAAGTGAGGAAATTAAACGTATTAAAACCCAACCCAGCACAATGGAGGACGTTGCCGGGAGCTAAAGACGATAACTGTGTCACTTTTCATGGAATTGATCACTTAATCAGACAATATGTACACTAGTGCTGAAATCATCATGTATAAAATGACACATGCAAAATCCTTTTTATAGCAGAGTTATTTGAATATCTCAGTAAAGTAATACGCTGGAACATTGCTAGCCATCGTAATACGTGCTACTCCTTAAAGTATATTTAATACTTAACTGTCAGCTTATGTTAATTAAAACAAGCTACTGACTAATAAAATAATTAATTAATATTTTTATTATAGTAATCATAACAAGTTAATTACAATATATGGTAAAAGATTTAAAGAACCATAGTATATTTATCGACATACCTATTTAACTTGTTGAGAGGTAAAAAAATTATGCTATTACAATAACAAAATAAGATACTCACCTTAACCACGACAAATAGTATGGAATGTATCCTACGAGATTTGCAAAATAATAACTATATCTAATAATCTCTGTTATCGACCAAGCCAGTATTGATAAAGGAAGTCCTAATGAGGATGGAGCAGAAGTCGAAGGAGTAGCTAGTAAGACTCCACAAACAATTATTACTCGACTAAAGACTTGAAAACTAGTAAGGCTTGGATTAGATTTCACTAAACCAGTAAGAGCATGTAAAATCTGAAACAAAATAATTTCAAAAAAGAATAATGAAATCAGAAATACAGATTTTCCGTCAAAAAAAAGTACCATAATTTGTAAGTCAAAAGTATACAAGGCAGCATGTAAATAATATATTCATGTTTCTCATATGTATGTAATAAGTAACATGTTAAAAGACTTTTTGAAAATATCAGAAAATCTTAATACAACTTATTAATCTATAAACTAATATTAAATATACAAAAAAGTTCATAACATATAAACAAATAATAATTAAGAATAACACAAAATTAATTATGCACTCTTCAACTCGTTATGATCTGGAATAAGACTTTTTGGTACAGCTATGAATGCATAAATATAAATAATGTAAGTATTTTGTGAAGTTAGTACATACCTCTAATAGTGCCGCATTTTGAAAAATAATTATGGGTAATTTAATTGTTTCCCAGAGAGCATTCCTTCCAAACTGGGTTATTAACAAGAACAAGATATAACTCCACCTGGAAAAAATTATTCGTTTTCTTAAAAGCTCTATAATATTAACTCTTACTAAAATAAAGTATCATTATTGATAATAAACAAATTGAGTTTCAATTTTATTTAAACATCAAATACGTTTTTTGGTAGCCCTATCTGTACATAAAAGAATTATAGAAAAGTATCCACTATTCCTCTACTAACTTAAACGACAGTGTCGGCTATAATTGACAATTATGCAAACAAGTCATAGATAAACTAATATTTTAAAACTCTAAAAAAAAGTCTCAACGTAAAATTATAGCTGAATCAACATTGATTTTAAAGTTTGATCGACGCTATATCAACGTTATTTCAGTAAATGCAAAGCACTAAAGTTAGTCATAATTTATATTGCCCGTTCCACGTTGATTTGGTATTGATTTAAAATTAATTCATCATTAAACATCATTTATTTAAAGTTGATTTAGCTTTAATGGTGGATAAAAAATAGCGTAAATACGGCTTTAGGTAAGCAATTACATGAAGTTAAACAAAACCTGTACAATATATATATACTAGTAGGGCTTTGCGCACCTAACTTCCGGCGTAAAGAGTTGAAAGTTTAATTTCTTAAATCTTTAATGAAAAACAGAAATTCAAACCGATCACTCAACAATACTATATCTCCAAGACACGGATTTGAAAACTTCTGATAAATTATGTAATGCAATAAATGATTACTATTAAAAAAACAAATCATTCTAAAAATAAGAAATTTAGATCCTTAAAAAATAAAGATAATACTTAAACAAAAGTTGACAATTCAATCAGTAACAAGTTAAACATATAACAAAAAGAAAACCTTACGAGATTTTAATAGGTAATCATACTGAACCTAAACAATTCATAAACTAAATAGTTTACATCGAACAGATGGGAATGGATTATTCAAAATTTTTTCTTCTCTTTTTGTATGATCACGACTATTTTCATTTAGGAACAAGATTAATGATAGTTGATAATCGTGAAAAAATGGAACTTTTATGTCGATTTTATTGTTGGGAATAAATATTTCAAAAATGTGAGAAATTTTAAAAATTATTGTAAAATTAGATATGATGAATCT